CAATCATCGAATTGCATGATTCAATTAGCATATTAATAGCGACCAGAGCATTGCTGGCAGGAGATGCAACTACCTGGTTTCCCTCGCACAGGCTGTAGTAGAAACCCCAGGCTGGTTCCATTCACCGCCTCTCTTCAAGCCTACCGTTTCATTTCCAGTGACCAACACCACTCACTGTACTATGATAAATACATATATATATAATATTATATAATATATAATTTACACTATATATGTCTCCAAAACATGTATATGCATGTATACGTAGATTTATTATCATTGTATCTCTCTCTCTCTTTTTCTCTCTCCATCGCCCTCTCCTAGGGTTCAGTCACATTGTATATCCATATTCCTTTACATGTTATGGCGAAAAGGCTAGTCCAAAATGGTATGCTCTATGGCATATGGATTCCCCGGACTTTTTCAGATGTTCGATCTGTTCTACGACACTTCCTTGCTGCAGCCGTGGCAGAGCGAGTGGCTGCAGCAGATTTTATTGCTTGGAAAGTGGTGAGACGAATCACGTCCCCCCCTCCACAGGGCCGACTCCACGATGTCGACTCGGAGTCGCTGCAAGCTGAAGCTGAGATAGGCCGTACCGAGATCATCACAAAAGTGACTGAGAGTAGCTGAGCAGCAGAAAAATATAGAAAATAAAAAATAATACACGGATAGAAAAGATATGAAAAGCAAGTAAGAAGTTAAGAAGAAGTACAAAAAGCACTGCCACCGGCGGTCCTTGGCAGGGGTCGTACAACGCAACGCAGCCCTAGGGTCCTCTGCTGTTGCAAACTCTTGTGCGAGAGCTCATGGATGGATCTGTGGCCATGACCATGAGCCCATTCACTAACTACATCACCTCAGGCTCGAGAACTGAAAAAACGGAAAGGGCCTGAAGATGCGCAAACTGGAAGGCCTCTTGACTCCACCATGAGCAGCAACAAAATAGATGTTGTATGATATTATGGTTTTGTTGCCAGGGCCTCTCCACAAAATACAGGATTGCCAAGCTAAAAATAATAGATTACATATATATATATATGTATATACACATACAATGACAGACCGACATTACCGAGGTATCACGTGCCAATGGCCTTCGTATAACTCGATGTCAAAATTCACTTCCAGAGTGAAACCCGTGCACTGTACGAAGCCACCATCTCACACCGTTTTGCGATCAGTGAACTGCAAACAAAACAAACGCCTGAAGCAACATACTACGCAGTGTGTCCTGTGGGAAGTCCGAGTCTAAGTCAAGAATCTCCCGCGGGTGATGAGGCTTCGAAAGACTCTTGGTTGCCTAGCTGAGTGCAGGCCCTTCCTTCAGGATGGCTTTTCAAATTTTCTGCGCTGCAAAGGTCCATGCTGATACTCACTCACAGGGAAAAGCATGCTGAGCAAAGGGATGATGCGGCCATAACCCCTAAGAAACAATCACAAATACAGCAGCATGATCAAAAGGATGTTCCTTTGAATTGGAGGAACTGTCCCAATTGACCCAGCTCTGGGGCATATCACCCTTATAGTATGTGAAGGTGTTTCTATATTTTCCTATCCAAATGAGACATGCATGCACCCTGACAAGTGGGTCAGCGAACGTTCATCGTCAATCGTCGTCGTCGTCATCAGCATCATCTTCCTCACCCTTTGCCGCTAAACTTTCCAGCTGGAAGTCCAGCTTTTCGGCTACTTTGGAGGCGAAGCTGCCTCAAAGTTCCGTGGAGGGGAGGTCGCATCAACCGCTGGCAAGCAATTTGGGGAAGAATCAGAAAGGCTTGGTTCCTTCAAATGGTCCAAACATGTCCCAACCATACAACGTCCGAGTGGTACCTGTAGGGAAAGTTGTCTGGTCTCAGCGGTGTCAAATTCAGGCAAGCTGCGGTATTCCGCAATGAAGCTCGCAAGGTCTATGCCTTTAGCAGTTCCCTTTAGTCGCTCCACTCCCTTCACAAGTTCTTCCTCAGCGTGAGAGATGGCCCCAACTGGCCCCAACGGGCCCGAAAAATCTAGCAAATCAATTCAAGGACAGGTGAATCTCCAATCATGGGCAGCTCGCCTGCCAACTGCAGACTTAATTTGCCTATCTGCCTGCATCACTTGGTGCGGACAACTGGCCATAAACCTACCAAAAAATGAAGTGGTGTTGAATTCGGTGTTCAAACAAGGAACACTCAGGAACAAGAAAACTCGAAGGCGAACCTTTTCCACTTTTCCATACTTTTTCCCTTTCCAGTCAGCCCAGGCACTGCGGTGAGTTCTGCATCACCGTCGTCAAGCAAATTAAACAAAATGTTTGGGTCCTGAGGCGACAGAGTTGACGTCGATGGGCATCCGAACTGAGACTTGTCACCGAATGATACCGAAAGATACCGAAAGTGGAAGCTGGGCTAGGCATGGCTGGGCATGGCCCATGGCTAGGCCATCCGAACCCTTTCTCTAGTGATTTTGAACCGGGTGAGTCGGTCAATTTGAGAAGATTGACCATCCGGAGGCAAGGCCACTGACAACTCCTTCCCAAAGTCAAGGCCAAGGGAAACATCTGCCAGTCATTTTGGGGCATCCATTTGAACCATTGCCAGTCGAGCCGAGAAGCTTGAACTGGAAGCTCTTGAGCTGCCAACCACGTCCTGGTGGTGTGAACAATTCTAATTTTGATGTTCGCATTTTTTTTTTGCTTCTCTGTCATTCTCTGTTCGCTTCTTGGATCCAACGAGCCGACCACCTCAGTGATGCAGTCAAATCTGCTCTCCTGACTTCAGGAATGTTCATGATTTCGACGAACTCACTTCTATCCTCGGCCAACGTGTCGTGCAGCATTGGCCAACAACCAAAGTGGAAGGCAGTCACAATAAAACAATTGTAGCACCTCCGCACACCAATCATCTAGCGTAACAAGTCACGAGCAAGTGAACCGTTCAACTTGGAATCGGCAAGTGTTCGAAAAGCCAAGGTGCTATAAAGCCATCTCCAGATTCATCCGCTGCTTCGAAAAGTGTTCTCATCTTCTTTGTGTGCAACCAGCGGTCTCGCTCCTGTCGGCTGAGCTACACAAATGCAACTTAATGATGTAAAATGATGTAAACTGTAACCATTTACTGTAAAATGATGCAAGCGTAAACGTAGAGCATCCATACAAAGTCATAGGACATCCGTAATATCACGCTGACAATGCTGGGAATGCTGACAATTTGCCACAGAAAGATGTCAACGTGGCAATTCCCTCACCTTTTGCCGCATCATTAGCTTGTCATCCGATGCTGCGACCTTGAAGGTCTCTTGCCTTGGCTAGTCTCACCATCTTGCGCTTCGGAGCTTGCCAGAGCTTGCCAGAGCTTGCCAATATTTCGATACCAAGTTGATCCAAGTTGATGCAAGTTGCATGAAGACACCATTGATGATGCCCACTGCTGCGAAACCAACAATCAGTTTGTAGGCCACGGAAAAGATCGAATAGTATTCCTCAGCGGCCGTGGCCATGGCCGTGGCCTGATCGGGGCAGGGGCCATGGGGGCACTATGCACTATGGGGCACTGCACCAAGTCTCCGTGACGTTTTCTTGCAGGATTCGTGCAGCCACTGGCCAGTTCCTTGGTACTGCGATGATGGGATAGGTATGAGTAGGATAAATCGAAGGGAAACAGGATAAACCCATAGTGCTAGGATGTGCTAGGGTGATTCTAATATATATATATAGAGAGAGAGAGAGAGTCATTGTTGCCATATCTTATCGTTGCCTGTCCAAAGACACACAATAATTTGGGCTGACAACACATATAGAGACAACGGGCGTGATTGCAACTACCCAATCATCTGCACAAAATGTCAAGATGAGCAAGTGGTGACCTGAAAAGGTATCGTATACACATATATTAGACGAAGCTGGCTGATTTGTTGCTGGTTTTTCCTTAGTGCGCAACACCTTTATCGTGACCAAAGAAATTCCCTCAACGGCGGGTTCCAAGTGAATTCAAGAAGCGCCAGGGTGAGCTCAAACATGGTAAGCATAACTCTGGCGGTGGTGCCAAAATATTCGAAGACTTCAAGCTTTTCGGAGACCTTCAGGCTGAGGGTCTGGGGCAACGTTTAATGACAAATAGGCATCAGCCAGCTAAGTAGAAACTCCTTGCACAAGCCCTTGCACAAATTCAATGGAAGTTCTTAAGCTACACGCTTGTCAGTCTCCAAGGCAAAAGCGAAAGTCCGGGGATGAAGAAAATACATGAAAATACCCCCTACCATGACACACAAGAGATATCAAGAGATTCCATGGGATTCCATGAAAGTAACCTGACACGCCATGTCTCATGATCAGGGACCACTACATTACTGTATGCAACGTTTCCCCTCTGTTCCATACCTTTTTGGGGATGGAAAGCCAGTCTTGCACCATGGGATTGAGAGATATTGAGCCCATTCCAAATCATTCCAAGTTGCTGGTTTGCTTGGATCACTGAAGTACACTTCCAGGGATTCATTCAAAAAGAATGCGATCATGACTTGGACCGTCATCAGCAGCCTTGACAAGGCGCAGCTGCGGTGAATGCCGATAAGTGATAAGTCTTGAAATGTCTTGAAGCACCCGCGTGCATTTTCAATATTTTTCAATCAGCAAATGGGATACAATGAAACTACCACGTTACCTCAAAGAAACAAGAGACATCCTGCAGTCAGCCAAGAGACATGAAAGACCAAAATAGGCAAACTGTGCTTCCCAACATAGCCGTTGTCATGATATAGAGCGCATCGAAGCCTGCCACACTTGGTGCAGGTCATCCGTGCATGTTGGCCATGAGTTTCCAGGCTGGTGAACGTACTGCACTCATTGAGATGAATATTATATATATATGTGTGTGTGTTATTTATATATATATATATTATTTATTTATTTATTTAAAAACTCATTAAGAATGCTTTAAAATATGTTAAAATCTCACAAGAATGCTCTGGTCATGCTGTGGCTTACAGTAAGATTGCTCAGCCGATTGCCACTGATTGACCCACCAGCATCATGACATATCATGACTAGGCTGCACCCTTTGTGCCCCACCTTGGATCGTCTTCACCAGGCGTATCAAACGCAAGAGCCGAGCCATTCGCATCATGCCTTGGGTGCATAGGAAGTTGCTAAGACATCTAAGACCCAGATACATCGATCCAGATGGCCAATATTGCCCACCTGTCGGTATTTGCCGGGTGTGGCTCAAAACAGCCTGCCACCAAGATACGCAATATTGCTGGGTCTAGTTGGATGAAATCTCTCAACGCAATCTCCACCAGCCACATGGTGACTAAAACGCCATCAAATATATTCCAACAGTCCTTGGAGAACGAAAGTGGCAAGCCGGTCACGGCCATGAATATGTTCCAAAGCTTTTGCAAGACTCCCTCTTAGGTAGAATCCTACAAAATAAAACTATGGTATATAATATTAATAGTATGTATGCATGCATGCATGCCTGTCTGTCTGTCTGCATGTCTGTCTGCATACATGCATGCCTGTCTGTCTGCATGTCTGTCTGTATGTCTGTATGTCTGTATGTCTGCATGTCTGCATGTCTGTCTGCCTGCATGCATGCCTGCATGCCTGTCTGTCTGTCTGCATGTCGGTCTGCATACATGCATGAATGCATGCACGCCTGTCTGTCTGTCTGCATGTCTGTCTGCATACATGCATGCCTGTCTGTCAGCATGTCTGTCTGTATGTCTGTATGTATGTCTGTATGTCTGCATGTCTGCATGTCTGTCCGCCTGCATGCATGCCTGCATGCCTGTCTGTCTGTCTGCATGTCGGTCTGCATACATGCATGAATGCATGCACGCCTGTCTGTCTGTCTGCATGTCTGTCTGCATACATGCATGCCTGTCTGTCTGCATGTCTGTCTGTATGTCTGTATGTATGTCTGTATGTCTGCATGTCTGCATGTCTGTCTGCCTGCATGCATGCCTGCATGCCTGTCTGTCTGTCTGCATGTCGGTCTGCATACATGCATGAATGCATGCACGCCTGTCTGTCTGTCTGCATGTCTGTCTGCATACATGCATGCCTGTGTCTGTCTGCATGTCTGTCTGTATGTCTGTATGTATGTCTGTATGTCTGCATGCATGCTGCATGTCTGTCTGCCTGCATGTCATGCCTGCATGCCTGTCTGTGTCTGCATGTCTGTCTGCATGCATGCTGCATGCCTGTCTGTCTGTCTGCATGTCTGTCTGCATACATGCATGCCTGTCTGTCTGCATGTCTGTCTGTATGTCTGTATGTATGTCTGTATGTCTGCATGTCTGCATGTCTGTCTGCCTGCATGCATGCCTGCATGCCTGTCTGTCTGTCTGCATGTCTGTCTGCATACATGCATGCCTGTCTGTCTGCATGTCTGTCTGTATGTCTGTATGTATGTCTGTATGTCTGCATGTCTGCATGTCTGTCTGCCTGCATGCATGCCTGCATGCCTGTCTGTCTGTCTGCATGTCGGTCTGCATACATGCATGAATGCATGCACGCCTGTCTGTCTGTCTGCATGTCTGTCTGCATACATGCATGCCTGTCTGTCTGCATGTCTGTCTGTATGTCTGTATGTATGTCTGTATGTCTGCATGTCTGTCTGTATGTCTGTATGTATGTCTGTATGTCTGCATGTCTGCATGTCTGTCTGTATGTATGTCTGTATGTCTGCATGTCTGCATGTCTGTCTGCCTGCATGCATGCCTGCATGCACGCCTGTCTGTCTGTCTGCATGTCTGTCTGCATACATGCATGCCTGTCTGTCAGCATGTCTGTCTGTATGTCTGTATGTATGTCTGTATGTCTGTATGTCTGCATGTCTGTCTGCCTGCATGCATGCCTGCATGCCTGTCTGTCTGTCTGCATGTCGGTCTGCATACATGCATGAATCCATGCACGCCTGTCTGTCTGTCTGCATGTCTGTCTGCATGCATGCATGCATGCATGCATGCCTGTCTGTCTGTCTGTCTGCATGTCTGTCTGCATACATGCATGCATGCATGCCTGTCTGTCTGTGTGTCTGTCTGTCTGTCTGTCTGCATGTCTGTCTGCAGGCATGCATGCCCGTCGGTCTGTCTGTCTGTCTGTCTGTCTGTCTGCATACATGCATGCATGCATGCCTGTCTCTCTGTCTGCATGTCTGTCTGCATGTCTGTATGTATGTCTGTATGTCTGCATGTCTACATGTCTGTCTGCATGCATGCATGCATGCATGCCTGTCTGTCTGTCTGTCTGCATGTCACGTCTGTCTGCATACATGCATACATGCATGCATGCATGCATGCCTGTCTGTCTGTCTGCATGTCTGTCTGCATGCATGCATGCCTGTCTGTCTGTCTGTCCGTCTGCATGTCTGTCTGCATACATGCATGCCTGTCTGTCTGTCTGCATGTCTGTCTGTATCTCTGTATGTATGTCTGTCTGTCTGCATGTCTGCATGCATTCTGCATGCATGCCCGTCCGTCTGTCTGCATGTCTGTCTGCATGCATGCATGCATGCATGCCTGTCTGTCTGTCTGCATGTCTGTCTGTATGTCTGTATGTATGTCTGTTTGTCTGGATGTCTGCATGTCTGTATGCCTGTCTGTCTTTCTGTCTGCATTTCTGCATGTCTGCGTGTCTGCATGTCTGCACGTCTGCATGTCCGCATATCTGCATGTCTGCACGTCTGCATGTTTGCATGTCTCATGTCTGCATGTCTGCACGTCTGCACGTCTGCAGCGTCTGCATGTCTGCACATCTACACGTCTGCACGTCTGCACATCTGCATGTCTGCATGTCTGCATGTCTGCACGTCTGCACGTCTGCATGTCTGCATGTCTGCACGTCTGCATGTATCATGTCTGCGTGTCTGCATGTCTGTATGTCTGTATGTCTGTATGTATGTGCGTCTGTGTATGTATGTCTGTATGTTTGTATGTCTGTATGTCTGTATGTATGTGCGTGTGTGCGTGTATGCGTGTATGCGTGTATGCGTGTATGTGTGTATGTGTGTTTGTGTGTTTATGTGTGTATGTGTGTGTGTGTGTATGTATGTATGTATGTATGTATGTATGTATGTATGCATGCATGCATGTATGTATGTATGTATGTGTGTGTATATGTATGTATGTATGTATGCATGCATGCATGCATGCATGTCTGTATGTCTGTATGTCTGTATGTCTGTATGTCTGTATGTCTGTATGTCTGTATGTCTGTATGCCTGTATGTCTGTATGTCTGTATGTCTGTATGTCTGTATGTCTGTATGTCTGTATGTATGTCTGTATGTCTGTATGTCTCTCTGTATGTCTCTCTGTATGTCTCTCTGTATGTCTCTATGTCTTTCTGTCTGTATGTCTGTATGTCTGTCTGTCTGTCTGTATGTCTGTATGTCTGTATGTCTGTCTGTCTGTCTATCTGTATGTCTGTCTGTCTGTCCGTCCGTCCGTCCGTCCGTCCATCCGTCCGTCCGTCCGTCCGTCCGTCCGTCCGCCGTCCGTCCGCCCGCCCGCCCGTCCGCCCGTCCGCCCGTCCGCCCGTCCGCCCGTCCGCCCGTCCGCCCGTCCGTATGTCCGTATGTCCGTATGTCCGTATGTCCGTATGTCCGTATGTCCGTATGTCCGTATGTCCGTCTGTCCGTCTGTCCGTATGTCTGTCCGTCTGTCCGTCTGTCCGTCTGTCCGTCTGTCTGTCCGTCCGTCTGTCTGTCTGTCTGTCAGTCTGTCTGTCTGTCTGTCTGTATGTATGTATGTATGTACTTATGTATGCACGCATTCTACATGAGGACTCTGCAAGTGGGGGCTTGTCCCCTCCAAGGTTCTTTGAAGAATCTCGCTTTGAAGCCCACAAGCTTGACTCCCAGCTCTACGGTGTAGATAACGCCAAACAAAATATCCTTTCGCAATTTACAGCAGGTGTGTCATGGCGTGTCCGGCAGCCAAAAAACATGATACAAATGGTTTGTCATGGCAACAAGGGAGGATATATGATATGTATAATATATATATATATACTTGCATGTATATATATATATAATTCGTAGGAATACCAAGTAGCACTAAGTTCAATATATGCCTCAGACAAGCATAGACAAGCATGACTCCAGGCTGTCCAGAGCTTGGAATACTCCCTTGGCTTGGGGCCAATACTCGCCTTGGATTCCAAAAATGGAAAACGATGCAGCGACCTATCCAGAATCCAATTGTGATCAGCTTTGTCTGAAGCAATGTGCATCTGGCTTTGCTGTTCTTTGCTGACATTATCACAACTTGGCTCTGCTACCTTTGTGAGTCAGGGCTTTGAGTGCAGAGTTTATGTTCCTTTGCATATTCTGGATCTGCACCGGACTGAACATTTGCACAGAGAGAGGTGCCCATGTCTACGCGACCAAATTTCGACATGCGGCATAAATTGACAGTTATCAGTAATCAGGAATCCAAACTTTGGATAAGAAACTTGGTATGAAAACTCAACAAACCTTGCTTTCAGGCGAGGGACCTGCTGGCATAGTGAAGTGCGGAAATCCAATTTCATATCCTCGCTGAAAGCCGGTGTACTGCATCTCCAGAGCCATCCTTGGCGATCCCCGACATCACCTGACCCCCGAGATCCACCCACTGTGACTGGGCTACGACGCTATGACTTGCAGCCTGGCTTCACCAGTGTATTGGCCAGAATGACGCCACAAAATATCGCATCAAATTGTGTGGTGTGAACGTATCTGCCTGAAACAAAGCACCAAAAACACGGCCACATGTCTGGTTGAAACATGAAACGGGATCAGAACAGAGCTCGTCGCCTGGGTGCCAGAAGGGCATGGCACCAATGCCCTCAAGGAGGCTATTCTTGCGCAGATGCGGAATACTGTGCGTCATTCCTGATTTTTCATACGAAACGCTGCCAGTTTGCGATGGACCTCCTCACACTGGCCTTGAAACCTCAATCCTTTCCAAATCTTTAAGATCTTTAAGTGAGTATGCAGGGCCTGTAGGGCCTTGTATGTAGGGCCTAGTAGGGCCTAGTAGGGCCTGTAGGGCATGAGCGGCACAACTCAACTCGAAACTACTGTGAGGCCGGGTGACTGACAGAGGCTTTGCTCTTGTTTTCACCGCCACCATCACCCTTAGTGACATAGCTACCGTGAAGGCGTCGAGGCGTAGAGGCGCGGTGAGGTGTGGAGGTGTGGAGGCGTGGTCCGTCGGAATCGATTGGATTAATGTGAATATTGATGTGTAAAAGTTCGATACCTTCATCTGAGGAGGCAAGTATACAAAAGCAAGCATGGGTGGTAGGGGTAGGAAGACCCATGCTAAAAAAGGCTATAGAATTAGGATGCCAAGTGCCATTACTTACGCTGGCCACAAAACAACATATCATTCCCCGCAGCGACATCCCAGGCCATCGTCCGATGTCTTTCCATATCTTAAAACAATATTATGTGAGAGTATATACATAAGAAAATGCAAATGGTATACAGTAAGAATACTAATATATAATAGTGGCAGCAACTACATAATAGCAATAATGCTAACAGCAGCAATACTAAGAATATGGACAACAGTCATGATAACAAGAGTGGGTGAAATAAGAGTATCAAAATTCAATGCAAGAAAAAGAATAACAAGAAAAATGATGATAATGATAGCAACAAAAATAACAATAGCAATAGTAAGAATCATTTTAAAAAAAGAATGTAGCAACAGCAGTGATATTCATTTTCAAAACATAACAATAATATACAAGAATGCTAGCAAGTAAGTAGTAATTATATGTAATCATCAAAATAATAACAATACTAATGGACTAAGAGCAACAGGAACAAAAAATAATAATGGAAAGCAAAAAAAACAAATCACCGCGACGATAATATTCAAGGAAAAAGTAAAATAATATCAATGAAAAAATGATAAGAAACATAATAAGAATGAATAACAATACGGATTATGATAACGATAAGAGTACTGTGGAGGAAAATTGCAGTAGTAGTAGTAGCAGTAATGAAAATCATCAAGAAACAAAACAACAACGGATAGCAAAAAAAGGAAAGAAAAAGAAAAAGAGGTACGCAACATCTGGAACATAGAAGTATAGCATGCAAAATGAATGTATATAATGATACATACTGTAATCACTGTAGTCACTGTAATCACTGTAATCACTGTAATCACTGTAATCACTGCAATCACTGTACTGTAATCTATATAAATATTCTATCAAATACTGGCCGCCTTGCGCCCGTCCGCTCCATGCCCGAAATTGCTTCGTAATCCTTCCGCCTCTCGTGAACAAGGCTAGCCTCTCTTGCACCCTGACATGATCAGCTGCCACGTGTTGTCTCATCCCATCGTCTCTTCGCCCTCTCTTTACATTGACTTTACATGCTTGTCCCTTCTCCATCCTTCTCCCACATCGACACCTGCGACCAGGCCATACCAGGCCTGACCATCACGTTGAATTCTTTATATGTTCCTTTCGTTTCCTTTCATATTGACTGTATTTGAGCCTCCAAAATTCTCTCAACTCTCATTTTCTTCCCTACTGCTGCCTACGCCCAAACCATGCTCAAGCCATTGACACCCTACTGTGTCCCAATCGGCCTTGGTACGTAGCCTTCATAATGGACTCTGAATAACCCTTCCCTCCCTGGCAACCTCTCCCCCCTCTGCCAAACCCTGGCCCAAAACCGAGCCAAGTGTCCTCGCTGCCGAAGGTTCTGGATCCCCTGGAGTTTGCCCTGAGAGTTTTGCCACCATTGTCGGATCCTCCGTCCGACATAAAGGATGGCCTGGCTGATCTCGATTCCTTGGTAGCCGAGTCTGATCATGTGGCCACAGAAAGCAACATTTGGGCTTCAACACATAATCAGCCAATACATTCACACATAGGAGACTACAGTATACCACCACGCACGCCAAATATATCATGTATATCTGTATATATAAGGCTGATCTGAAGAGCCTCAGCTTCCCTTCTGAGACCATGGAGATGTGATACGGCACTCGCGAATACTAAGTCAAACGGCAAGCCAGAACAACACAGGAAGGCAAATTGAACAAACGAAAGGGAGAGGAAAAGTCACTGAAAAGGGTAAGTTTGCAGTTTGCAACCTCAAAAAGCAGCTATGGCAGCCATGACAAATCATGACCACTTAATGCAGATTAAATCCGAAGGATTCGATATTTGCTTACGACGAGGGTCGTCTCCACCAGACTTTGCATCCGTGTCGTCTTCGAGAACGACCTTCTTCCCACGAGTTTCAGGAGTTCTGAGAGAGGATGCTGGGGCCCAATCCTCGTTCACCACGGGCACCTTGGAACGGGGGGACTGGACTCGACATCGGCATCCCTGTGTCCCGGATAATTTCCAAACAGCGCCCGCCACGCGCGTGAAGACAAGTTTGAAAATGGTCATGCATGCACATTGTCAGCAACAAGATCAAGACATCTCAATAGTGGGAGAATCAAAAGTTAGCAAAGACATGAGTATTCATAAGTTGGCCATCAAGCATGAGATACTGTAGTGTGCAGGAAATGACTGTCTGGATGACTGCTCTAATGAAGGCAAGCGACACCCGGCATGGGAGGATGGGCACCTTAATTCAAGCAGGTGTTGCAATTTGAAGCTAATTGAAGAATGCTGCCACCGACATGCCCGAATGGAATCACATTCTCGTAAACTGATTCCAACCCCAGGTTTGGCCTCCCTGATTCGGGGAAAAAGAAAATCAGCGAAAAAACACAAAGAACTTGTCGGAGCCCACCGCGTGATCTCAAGACATCTCCATTTCAGTTTGAGGTCCATCCGATAATGTACTGCAATATCTGCAACATCCTGAGGCTTATATATATATATATTCCGGCCAAGATTCTGAGACATGTATATCATGTATCTACATACGTACGCACGCACGTACGTACGTACGTATGTATGTATATGTATGTATGTAGGTACGTATGTACGTACGTATGTATGTATGTGTGCATATATGTATGTGCGAATGTCTGCATGTATGCATGTATGCATGTATGCATGTCTGCATGTATGCATGTATACATGTATGCATGTATGCATGTATGCATGTATGCATGTATGCATGTACGTATGTACGATGTAGGTATGTAGGTATGCAGGTATGTAGGTATGTAGGCATGTAGGTATGTAGGTATGTAGGTATGTAGGTATGTAGGTATGTAGGTAGGTAGGTAGGTATGTATGTATGTGGATGGATGGATGGATGGATGGGTGTACGTATGTACCTACGTACGTATGTCTACGTATGTCTACGTGTACGTATGTATAGATGCGATTATATACGTATGTACGTATGCATGTATGTATGCTCGTAAATGTCTACGTGTGTCCAGTAAATGTTCAGGTTGTTGAGGCAGGCAACTCAATTTCTCCGCATTTGCCACTGTGCGATCCTTCACCGTGAGGGTCATGTGAACGGGTTGATGCGCAGGAGGTTTCGGCTCCTCAAGGTTGGCTCTGTTGTTCACCCAACCGTCCCCCACAAATGACATCGGACGGCTGATATCAGGCTTGGACATCTTGGACCCATGTGAACTTGCCTCCAACTTGTAATTGAACTGGCTCAAGATTTCGGAGTGCCGCCCCTTCATGACCTTAGCTGTGAAGGCCCCAGGGATTGCGAACAGAAGCTCCGCAGCGTCTCCATTTTTTGAATCTGGACGTGCTCCTATGAACGCTTCACCAGGAGCAAGAAAACATTTTAGGCACGCACCTCCAGCACGGATTCCCGCTCATGCTGCAAAGCGCTTCTAAGCCAGCCTTGGCAACTTGGGGATGCAATGGAAGCATCGAAGAACGAATTATGCAAATACGGGATAATACGGGAAGGAAATTTTAAAAAACGGGAATTGGACCAATTGGAGATGGAATGAGGTGGAAGGAAGTGGCAGGTGGAAGGACGGTAAAAGAGACTAGTGATAATGAGTTCATGCTGCCAAGGAGAGTCGCCAAACTGAAGGAGAGAGCCAAAATAATCTCGTTCACATTGTTTCACAGTGACAAAGCTGTGCTCCATCTGGCACCCAAACCAGGCTATTCAGCATCAACTTCTGATATGATGAGCAACTCTTGAACTCGTCAGCTGGATCAAAAGGAGGGGGAGCTTTCCCTCTCATACCATCCATTTGCTGACCTCGACCAGTTGAATTTCTGAACCCTGGATCTATAGGAGCTTCACAATTGATTTTGCACATCAGCCATAATCACTTTATTTGATCGTGGAAAGTCATGCAAGCTGAACAAATCATCCATCTGCCGAGACATCTGTCGAGTTGGGTGCTGTCTGGCCACTGTTCAGCACTTCCAGGCCATGACTCACTTCGATTGATGGCATCCTACCAAAGCCAGCATAGCCACCTGTCAGTGGCAAGGGAAGGTGTCCAACGTTGCAAAAATTCGCAAACATACATGTGTATATATATATATATATGTGTGTGTGTGTGTACAATTATATACATAGTTCTGGAAACTTGAATGGAATTCTCGAAGTTCAAAGCCAGGCTGCTTGGCTCTCTGCTTGCCGATCTGGAGTCCCCGAAGCTACCTCAGCTGCCACTAACAAGGCAACATAAACTAACCCATGAGCCATCAAATCCATGAGACCTTATATCTATAATATACATACATACATATATATATATATATATCTGTCTATCCATATGTCATTATATATGCATGCATATAATGTATATATATATATATCACTACGTATATCTTTATACATCAGTATGTGTCACTACATATCATTATAGATCATTATGCATCATCATATACCATTATACTGTATATACTATCTATCATTAGATTAGATATCCATATCTACCATTATCTACTATTGTCAGAGCCCCATAAGCCAAGGACTGCGCTCATTTAGCTCCTTTCCAGTGTGGTGCCAAAACTGGGGTGACACTTTGTATCACCTAGGCACCTCGAAAGTCAACTGCATCAAAGCTAGAATTTGCAGTGCGGCGCATAGGTGATGGATCTCCTTGGACGCTTTTCCAGCAACATGATTTACGATGATCAACATGCCAAAGTCATCCAAAGTCCATCAAGTCCATCTGGTCACTGGTGGTCACGGCTTCTGACTTTCCCTGCAAGCCTATGCAAGCCTATGCAAGCCTTTGCATCCAAGGTGCTGGGATCAAAGGGGTAGTCCCAGTGGTCAGGGCGATCCCGGTGATCTCTAAAATGAATGGGGTCCACGCTCAAAGTCTGCGTTGGTGGAGGTGCATAATCGCCTCGGCATCACATCCGATTGCATTCATCAGGATGTATCGAAATGTACTGACATGTCTTGAAACGTATTGGAATGTATTGAAATGTCATACAGTATCAAATATTATCGTGCCTGCTGTGCGCATAGGAAATGAATTGCCCGTCCTCCAGAATCTCAATCAATTGCTCTGCAATTGTGATTGCATATGTGCGGCTAAGAAACGGCGAAAGTCGCCCACGTCATGACTTGAGCGCCAAGGTTGTGGATCTCGTGGCTCTCCTCAAACCATCACAAACCACCATGTTCGTAGACGAGGAGGGTGCCCAAACTTGATATTGTTTTGCACTCATTCATGTCGACCTCTCTCTTGTCTTGCCTCTTGGTTGGTTCGGGGGGCAGTAATGTCTTTATGTGCGTTTTCCTGTAGCACTTATTCATGTCGACCTCTCTCTTGTCTTGCCTCTTGGTTGGTTGGGGGGGCAGTAATGTCTTTATGTGCGTTTTCCTGTAGCACTCATTCATGTCGACCTCTCTCTTGTCTTGCCTCTTGGTTGGTTGGGGGGGCAGTAATGTCTTTATGTGCGTTTTCCTGTAGCACTCATTCATGTCGACCTCTCTCTTGTCTTGCCTCTTGGTTGGTTGGGGGGGAGTAATGTCTTTATGTGCGTTTTCCTGTAGCACTCATTCATGTCGACCTCTCTCTTGTCTTGCCTCTTGGTTGGTTGGGGGGGCAGTAATATCTTTATGTGCGTTTTCCTGTAGCACTCATTCATGTCGACCTCTCTCTTGTCTTGCCTCTTGGTTGGTTGGGGGGGCAGTAATATCTTTATGTGCGTTTTCCTGTAGCACTCATTCATGTCGACCTCTCTCTTGTCTTGCCTCTTGGTTGGTTGTAGCACTCAGTAATATCTTTATGTGCGTTTTCCTGTAGCACTCATTCATGTCGACCTCTCTCTTGTCTTGCCTCTTGGTTGGTTGGGGGGGCAGTAATATCTTTATGTGCGTTTTCCTGTAGCACTCATTCATGTCGACCTCTCTCTTGCCTCTTGGTTGGTTGGGGGGGCAGTAATATCTTTATGTGCGTTTTCCTGTAGCACTCATTCATGTCGACCTCTCTCTTGTCTTGCCTCTTGGTTGGTTGGGGGGGCAGTAATATCTTTATGTGCGTTTTCCTGTAGCACTCATTCATGTCGACCTCTCTCTTGTCTTGCCTCTTGGTTGGTTGGGGGGGCAGTAATATCTTTATGTGCGTTTTCCTGTAGCACTCATTCATGTCGACCTCTCTCTTGTCTTGCCTCTTGGTTGGTTGGGGGGGCAGTAATGTCTTTATGTGCGTTTTCCTGTAGCACTCATTCATGTCGACCTCTCTCTTGTCTTGCCTCTTGGTTGGTTGGGGGGGCAGTAATATCTTTATGTGCGTTTTCCTGTAGCACTCATTCATGTCGACCTCTCTCTTGTCTTGCCTCTTGGTTGGCTGGGGGGGCAGTAATGTCTTTATATGCGTTTTCCTGTAGCACTCATTCATGTCGACCTCTCTCTTGTCTTGCCTCTTGGTTGGTTGGGGGGGCAGTAATGTCTTTATGTGCGTTTTCCTGTAGCACTCATTCATGTCGACCTCTCTCTTGTCTTGCCTCTTGGTTGGTTGGGGGGGGGCAGTAATGTCTTTATGTGCGTTTTTCTGTAGCACTCATTCATGTCGACCTCTCTCTTGTCTCGCCTCTTGGTTGGTTGGGGGGGCAGTAATGTCTTTATGTGCGTTTTCCTGTCGCAACTCATCATCATGTCGACCTCTCTCTTGTCTTGCCTCTTGGTTGGTTGGGGGGGCAGTAATATCTTTATGTGCGTTTTCCTGTAGCCCTCATTCATGTCGACCTCTCTCTTGTCTTGCCTCTTGGTTGGTTGGGGGGGGCAGTAATATCTTTATGTGCGTTTTCCTGTAGCACTCATTCATGTCGACCTCTCTCTTGTCTTGCCTCTTGGTTGGTTGGGGGGGGCAGTAATATCTTTATGTGCGTTTTCCTGTAGCACTCATTCATGTCGACCTCTCTCTTGTCTTGCCTCTTGGTTGGTTGGGGGGGCAGTAATATCTTTATGTGCGTTTTCCTGTAGCACTCATTCATGTCGACCTCTCTCTTGTCTTGCCTCTTGGTTGGTTGGGGGGGCAGTAATATCTTTATGTGCGTTTTCCTGTAGCAC